CGGTCGGCCTGCCAATCTCTTTTATTTTGGATCTGGGTGACACTTGACCACACCAGGTCACCTCATTGTGTAAAGCCATCTGGTTGTCGGTAACCCAACAATGAGTTTGCTGGCCGAGGCTTCGGAATCCTCCCATAGAAGTCTCTGTATATACCGGGTCTGCCAACAGCAACAGCCCTGTTTACATTCCATCATCACCTCTGCCGTCTACAAGAAGCCTTCTATAAAGGAAGATGGACGTCTTAGTGTTTATAGAGCTGAGTAGCTGGCAGGAATCCTCTGGTGAAATCCCAGGCCTGGAATTGACTTTCTGGGTATTGCAGAACTTCATTATATCCAGTTTGTTACCCAGAGTTCCTCTTTAAAGCCTCATTAAATTAAATAAAAATCTCCCCTTGCAGTAGGGCTACCCTTTTTAGAGGGGGGTGACACCAATATGACTGTCAGTCATTTTGGTGTCACCCCTGCAATGGTGACACCCGGGTGCGGGCTGCTCCTCCCTTGTGACGCCACTGCACGTGGTTCTCAACTGATCGGTCGCAAACCAAAAGTGGGTTGCAACCCCGTGTTCAGTGGGTTGCTGTGTGCTAGGTGAGAGGCTTCTCAGCCCCCCCTCTAGTGCAGCACTGTCAGTACTCGCACTGAGCAGCCATTCAAAATATTCTGCCCGGCACCGAGTTTCAGCTTGAGGTGAGGTTACCCCAGGCTAAGGGTCCACTCCAGTTCTGGTAAGGTAAGGAGACTGGGTGGATTTTAAAAAAATGAAGATTTTTGTTTTAAGTGTGTATGTGTGAGAATGTATGTGAGTGTGTGAGATTGTGTCCGTGGTTGTGTCTGTCTGTCAGTGTTATTGAGGGCCCGTTCACACTAGTACAGTACATTAATCACACAGTCCCATATGATTAACGCACTGTACCATGCAAACACACCTACTGCGCGTTCTGGTACAGTAGGTGCTTTGCGTTGTCATTCATTCAAATGTCACCCTAAACACAGTTCGATTGCCTTACTGCAATGCATGGTACCATAATGCTGTGCGTTCAGGTGCAGTTAGATCGCGACTTAATGACCAAGGACAAACGTGGGTCCTGAGGTTACACAGGTTGAGAACCACTGTTCTAGAGTCTAAAGGGATTCCACACTAGAGTCTAGAGGGATTACCTACCTGATTCCTGCTCCCCTGGCAGTCAGCAGTCACCTTTCTCCTCTCTGGCTGTGGAATGTCCTTCGCCTCCTCACATCGAATGCAGGTCTGTGGACCCAGATGCACTGAGCAGTCTTGTCCAATGCATAGACAAGGCGATTTACCTTGTGTCCTACTATGTCAGTTCATACCACCACGCTGCAGCAGGACTTGCAGTACTTTTTCCCAGCACAGTATGTTGCACCCTACTACAATTACAAGGATGCACTGCAGTGAATAGAAATACATGAAAAAAACTGTGCTGCTTACATTCTACATGATCTATTCTGAAAGAAAAGTTGTACTGATGTCTCCTCTGGAATGCAAGAGGGCTAGGCAGGTTAATTATATCATAGTTAACCCTGAATGTACTGTGCTGGCAGATTTCATTATCAGTTGTAAACTAGATATGATCACTGTCTGTCCTAACAAAAGGTTAAAGATCTAGAATTGTATGTTCATGAGAGGAAGCTCAGGGTGTCCCCAGTCTTTCTATGGGGACAGACATAGTTTCCTGTCACTTTGAAATGGTAAAGAGAAGCTCCAAAGGCTCCAGCTACACAAACAAATCTAAAAGGTAAGATTTTTGTATTATTATTTTTAGATATGTTGTGTGAATGGGAACACACAACAAACATATGGGGGGGTCTCAAATTTAACTGCAAAAGTGCACATACACTTTAAGCTACCTGACCTGACTAGTTCATTTGCAGGATAAAAGGCCCATTATTGCCGAGCAGTCTCCACCCATCAGACCAGGTGTCTCAATCAGAACTGTGACCCAGATTACACTGCAATAGAGGCATTGCTGTCTACCTGAGTGGTAAGTCATTCAATAAAATCATATTGGGAGATGAAAGTGTCCTTTACATCAGGTGTGGATAGATGAATATGGAATTCAAGAGCCAGTCTGTCCATATTGGGAGCCAGCAGGGTTTTTTTTTTTTTTAGGAGCCAGCTCCATTGACAACAACTAGAAAAAACATCAAAAGTTAGGTGATGGCTGGAATGTTTATGGAGCATTGGCATGGCTCCTGGGATTTGTCTAGCCCTGATTTAGAGAAATGTTGTTTAGTAATCTTTTCATGTTGTGATCATGTAGCCTCTGTCCATTGACTAGTCATTATGAATACACACAAGATTTTAAGTGTCAAATGCTAAAGCTTGTTGTATGTCAGATCCTTCTGTGTGCATTTCAGGCTTTGACACTGTAGGGAATGACAAAGATTGGCACATAATTCCACTGTATTGTACTAGTATAATAGTTTGGGGGTCAGTCACGAACAAAATTTCCTGACGTCAATATATGGCAGCATACAATGGGTAAAGGTGGCCATACACTCTACAACCATTGCAAGACTTTAGTCTTGCGATGGTTGTAAAGGGATTAAAAAAACGTACGATCTGCCTATCTTGGACAGGCAGATCGCACTCTCGATCATCGCAAGCCCGCCCCCCTGAGGGGCGGGCATCCGATGACCGCAATGCTGAACGGGCAGTGTGCGCGTGAGCACACTGGCCCGTTCAGCATTTATCTTCCGAGCACCGTTCTAACCAGCCGAGAATCGTACGATTCCCGGCTGGTTTTCGAACATGCATCCGTACAGTAGAAACGGTCGCACGTCTCCGTTCACACTGCTCGATTATCGTACGAAAACCCGATCGCATACGATTATCGTACGGTAATCGTGCAGTGTATGGGCACCTTAAGGCTCCGCTTCCAGCCCAATCACAGGACCAGTTATACTATAAATTAAAGCCCGCCTCCCAAGGCCACCATTCTTTTTTCTGTCCTCACTGCTCAAGCTGGTTATACTAGGAATATGTTTGAGGTTTTTATTTTTTGCCCTCAACTTGCTGGTTTCTTCTGGCCTGCCGCACAGGTTCAGCCTCTCCTGTTGCGAAGTTCCCTTTGTTCAGATGGCTAAATGCAATCTTATAAGGGAAGCCTCCCCCATAGCTTTGGGGTGCAGGAAATGGTCTCTTAGGGTCTCTTCATGTTCGGATGCTTCCTCCATCATGGCGGCAGGTTGAACACTTGCTTAGCCTCCTGCTCTTGTGACTCCAGAGAAGAACTGTATCATCAGAAACTATGGTTGTACTGGGATGATCACATGCATAGACAAGCTGACAAGTAGGATCCACTCCATT